CACTTTTACTTTCGCCCTCTGGGGGGAGCCTCGCTGGAAAATCAACACCGGTTGCATAGTATACCTTTAAAGCGGAACAAAGTGATAAAAATGGTACTGATTGCCCTCCCCGTCACTCTGAAAGCAGCTGGAAAACCCGTCAGAACAAAATATCTGAAGAGGTGATTAGTCTTTTCTTTTTCTCAATAGATCGTTGAATAATACATAATTTCTTTTATGCAAGTCAATAAAGTGTAAGTCTGCCTCACGAGTTAATAGGTGTTTATTTGCATAATAAAGTCATTCAGCCTCTCCATGTTTTTAGTGACGTCCAAAATGGATCCATCTAAAGTCACAATATTAACACTAACAGATGTGGTCCAATAGCAACATTACCAGGTCTGCATCAGTTTTGCATCCTTGTTCCTGTTTGACGTCTTTGATTAAACTTTCCAATCTGATTCACATTTTCACCTCCTTTCCTCTTCAAAGCTTTTCTTTGCCTGTGTTTCCCTCTCTGCCATGTTATAAACCTCCTAAATCCAAAAGTGCTGTATGATTATTGGTGAGTGCGGCAGTGAGGGTTTGTGACTATTGATGCCATTGGCTTTGCATTGGGCTGCCGTAAAGCTGTTAGTTTTACAGTGAGAACAGTTGCAGTTTCTGTCCAGACATGGTAGGGGGAGATGAAAGTCCCCACAGGTGTCAATTAAACACTTAAATTATATCACTGGGACTTAGAAGCAGATATATTAAAGTAAAAATGTTATTTTAAAGTCAAAAGCCAGTTCAACGCTCAAATTATTACTCTTTTCTGAATTAGTATTTAGATTTATCTTCTAAAAAGTCTCACTGTATTCTCATCAGTGCACAGAGCATTTCTTTACATCTGTCGCTCTGTTGCTGTTAAATCGTGAGCTTTAAACGAAACTTACAGGTGATGCCTGCAGTGCTTTAGATTCTCGTTTCTGGTGTGACCTCCTAGATGAGATACCTATGTACATCAGTATGATTCCTTTTAAAAGTATTTTAAATTTAAGCTTGAATTAATCTGATAGGTCAGTTAGAACTCGTTCTCATTCACATAGTACCGGTAATCTAATTCTTATTACAATGATGTTCTGAGATCTTGACCTTCTAGATCAGAGGTTGCTTCTTTCTTGCAGTAATTCTGGTCGGTCAACCACTATTGCTGATGTTGCATGTTTGTTATGTTTATGGATAATGGTTCTCCCTGTCGTAGTTAGTATAACAAAGCTTTAGAAATAATTTTGTAACTCTTTCTCAACTCTTGATGTTTTTTTTAGACATTCATTAGCCTACTTCATGTTGTTGGACTGGTACGATTTTAAGGATTTCTTGACAGGATTCTTGAATTTGGAATTTTGAAATCTTGGTGGAAAAGATTTTGGTGGAAATTTATTTTATTTTTAAACAGACTCGTGGATTTTGACCGCTATTTTCTCCCATCATTAATAACATTTCTCTCAAACAAGTTTTGTTTATGTTTTTTTCAGGGTGTCTTCGTCTGGTATGGACTTTAGTTTGTGGGTCAAGACATTTAAGTTTGACAAAAAAGCAAAAGAAGTCAGATGTTTTCTGCCTAAAGCCCCTCTCACACCTTGCCGATTTAGCCAACGTATACCTTGCAGCGCAGAACCTGCTAAAACGCTGGCATACGCTGAACTTTCTATGTATTTTTTTCAATTTTGGGCAAATACATAGCATATTCATAATAAGTCCAGAGCGTATGTCCAATGACTGCCTAACTTATGCATAACACACGGCAGCGTAATGATCTTGATACTGTATGTTACAAGCCAATACGTCATTATACAGTAGCTCTAAGTTAAAAACACTTTCAGCGGTCATCTGGAACACGTCAAATATGTTGATATGCGTTGGAGATAAGTTCTTGATAAGTTATGCAGAGGTTACTCATAGGACACCACGTATGTCAACGATCAGATGACTTACCTGTAGTTTATGGCCCACGTTTTGCATACGCTGGCATACATCGGAAAGTTGATGTACTCTGCGTATGCCAACGTGTTTCAGCATGCTCATAACTTATACAAACCATACTCATAACTTATACGAGGTATGCCATCGTTTTTGCCAGATTTTACGTGCATCTGGCATATTCAGGCTAACTAGTCAAGGTGTGACACAGGCTTTAGTTTTCTGCCCTTCAGTTCTCACTTTGCTGGAGAATTACTTATAATTTGGTGTAATTTTACTGTTTTTTAATGAAGGGTTGCAGAGACACTCCTCCCAGGAAGTAGATTTCACCGCTACGTCAGAGATGGCCAGTCCATCGTGAGGTCTTCAGGTCCATATTCTGTCCATGATGAGGTTCACCACCACCTAGATTTTGGTGAGCGTTTGCTCTTTAGCAGCGATGCAGTGCATGCTGTGTTTTTATTTTGTTTTTTTAGTGCCATTTTGCCATTTTGTTTTTCCCACAATAGTTGGAGGCCTTCACCGCGTCCCACCCAGACAGAAACACGTCAGCCTGAACCAGCCGCCATCTAAGGCTGGGGTCCACCTCGGAGTGACTCCGGCCATCCTGAGGGCCCGCTACAATCTGACCGCAGCTGATGTTGGGACGTCTCAGAACAACAGCCAGGCCGTTGCGCAGGTTTGACCCACTGTTTGCTTGTGATGAAGCCTATAATTCGTAGACGTAGAACGTTCCGCTCTGATAATCACTCTTCATTCCTTTAGTTCTTAGAGCAGTACTACCACCCAGCTGACCTGGCTGAGTTCATGGCTATTTTTGGTCGGACCTTCCAGCACCGCTCTGAGGTGGATCGTGTTGTTGGCACCCAGGGAGGAGGGAAAGCTGGCCTGGAGGCCAGCCTGGACGTCGAGTACATCATGAGCACTGGAGCCAACATCTCCACATGGGTCTTCACTAATCCAGGTTTGTCTGAAGACAAACGTGTACAAATAATCTATTCTTCTGTAATTCCACGTTTTTAAGAGCTGAGCTCAGACAAGCGGATAGAGACAGTGCTGTCTGTGCAAAGCCTCTATTCTGCTTCTAATCATCTTTACCAAAGTCGAACCTCTGGTAAAAATGTCATTAACATTTTTTCATAATTTTTCAAGTTATCAACAGACACACACACACAAACTCCTAAAAACATAAGCTTCCTAGTGAAGGTAATAAGAAATGTGCAGGAAGCTGAGTGGACTTTAAAAAAACAGCCACATGACTGCAGGTTGAATCAACCAAAAACAAAATAAACAGTGTGAAAATACCACTGTTAAAGTAAAGCAGTAAATCAATAAACGCATCAAAATTTTTTTTGTTATTTAAAACTTTTATGTAAGTTTATATGTTTTTTTTATTTTTTTGGTAACTATCTTTAGTTTAACGTGTTCTTCCGGTTCCTGTCCAGGCCGCCATGAATCTCAGGAGCCCTTCCTCCAGTGGATGGTCCTGCTCAGCAACATGTCCGACCTGCCCTGGGTTCACACCATCAGCTACGGGGACGACGAGGACAGCCTGTCCACCGCCTACATGATGCGCATAAACACAGAGTTTATGAAGGCCGGCGTCAGGGGGATTTCTTTGCTCTTTGCCTCTGGTCAGTAGCTGCTTGGAGAAATTCAGCAAAAGCTGTCCTGCTGCATCAGCAGAGCATCTGTGGGAGAGCTGTAGTAGGTTATAAGGTTATTGGACATGTGATTAATGATGCATGTGATACTCGGTCATGAAAGAACTGCAACTTCCTTTTATTGAAAGGAACAATTCAGAAAAACCTCAGCTGAGAAACAAAAAGCTGTCATTTTGTCATTTGTTGAACTAAAACTATTATGGTTAAAGTTAAAAAAAAAAAGAAAATTCAGCATTAAAACCTCAGATGATTTTGGGTTTGTGACCTTTTCTGTGTAACAAAGGCTGCTGGGTGTCCTTCAGGTTTGCAGTGTGGTATAATTTTTTTCACTGTGCTAAAGTAGATTTTTTTTTTCTGTTTGTTTTTTTTTTTAGGCCTTTTTATTTTAACACAGACAGTTGTACTCTCTACTCCTTACTGTCTCCAAACTGACTCAATACTTCTATACATATAATGGGGACAATAACATTTGGGGCCCAGTTAAAAAACACTGATAGCAAACTGGATGAAGACTGGAGAGCCTCTTTATTAGGCTTTAAATTTCTATGTTTATGTTTCATTCATAAATTTCTATGTTTATGTTTTATTTTCATCTCGATATTGTCGTATTCAGGTGACAGCGGAGCCGGGTGCAGACATCTGGGGAAAGATGAGAACACGTTCAGGCCCAGCTTTCCTGCTTCCAGGTAAACGTTAGCGTCTAGATGTGCAAACGCCTGAGGATCTTTAAATGTGCTTTACAAATTTTTTTTATTGAACCATCCACCATTTTCCTCTCACTTTAGAACTATGTACTACTCTTGGTCAGTATACCACCTAAATTCCCACGAAAAGACATTAAAGGTTTTGGTTGCAAACAGGCTCAGACTTTAAATCAGTGATACCGGGCGTTTGCCTGGCGGGCCGGTCCTAATTTCAGCGTGCTAGGACCGGCCCTCCTTAAATCATACTGGCCCCAACACTAACGCTCCGGCCGAAGCTCCTACCTGTGACAGTAAATAACTCGAGGAGCTCAAGAAGTAATACAATGTTAACTACCTAAATGATGCATGCAGTATATATAGCCTTTCCTTGTGATGGCATATGGTGGAATTTTCTATTTCTTCAAACTGTAAAATCCTTGCAGCAAACTAAAATATAATAAAACTAAAATGCTTTCTTTAAACCAAACTACTAAGTTCCTCTTATATTTGGCGAATTTATGTTAGAATGTTTTTGCAAATATATGTTGCAGTGCATGATGGGGTTTTGCATCTAAAGGCTAACGTTTCCCATCTTGTTGCCTTGTTGCCAGGTTGGGATGTTTCCCAATCTGGCAGTTTAGGTCGGCCGTCTATGGGTAAAATGGTGCAAAATGTGAGTCAGTGACATCTGGCAACCGTGCTGATGTGGCGAGTGGGGACGTTACGCAGCAGTAGTCCATGTCGCGTCTGTGTTAATAACCAAAGCCAGTAATACTGCATTATAGAAGTCTTGTTGATGGTTGTCGTGTGATGCTTGAAGATAAATTGATTAATCCACAATGTGTATTCATATGTGTATTCGTCTCATATTTCAAATGCACGCATATGACATAAGTGGTCCATAAGCTGGCCGGTGTAGATGGAGAAATGCCAGGGCCGAAAATCGTTCCCAGGCGAAAGTCAAACCTTTTCGAAATGTGTGTGTTTATGTAGCAGGGGAACAGGAAATGAATCAACTAAAAGCGGCTCTTTCTTTCAGCCCCTATGTGACGACAGTAGGAGGAACCACTTTTAAGAACCCGTTTAAAGTAACCTATGAAGTCACACATTACATTAGTGGAGGAGGCTTCAGCAACGTCTTCAAGATGCCAGACTACCAGGTACAGACGTGCAGCTTTTATGCACATTTATCAACACACAATGTTAAAGGTATAATGGAGGATTTTTTTTTTTCCTGCAAATTTTTGCAAAGACCAGCCCTCTCCACTTAAAAATAAGAACAATGCACATGCAGAACAATGCCCCCTGCTCCCGAGAGGGAGCGGCTATTAAATGCGTGCGAGAGCGTGCACGAGCCCTTTTCTCCTCGTGCACGTGCTGTTTAAAATTTGCTATTTGTATTGCTCATACAAGCTTACTTTCCAAAAGATGTGCAATTTCCCACTATTTCCCACAGGTAAGTGAAAATGGGGACGAGCATGTAGGACGGCCTTACTTAAACATCACCAGAATGATTGACAATTAGGAAGACCACTTATTTTGCTGATCCACCCGGAAGAAGAACATCCTCCACTAAACCTTTAACTGTCATTTGAATTCTTTTTCTTTTTTCCTTAATATTAATCAATTGTTTTTTTTTCCTCTTTCTTCTTTAGGCCAGTGCAGTGCAGGGGTACCTGAAGAGTGTAAAAGCGACTCTCCCTCCTCAGTCATACTTCAATACGAGCGGCAGGGCCTACCCAGACATAGCTGCACTATCGGATAATTACTGGGTGGTCAGCAACAGAGTGCCCATCCCCTGGGTGTCCGGAACCTCGGTAAAATCAACCAAACATTGTTAAAGTTTCTGCTAAAAAAATTTTTTTAGCGGTTAAAGCTATTTTAGATTAGCAGTGATTGATGTCTTGTTGCTCCCTGTAACATAGTGAAGTATTTTGAAACTTGCACACGTTCAGCAGATATGACAGTTGGAATAGGAAGTATGCCTTTAAAGATAAGGTGTCATTCTTTGCATTCTTCAATTGTTTGTAACTTCAGTTATCCCCCCCCAGGCTTCAACTCCTGTGGTTGGAGGCATGCTGGCTCTCATCAACGGCCAGCGTCTGTCGAAGGGCTTGCCTGCGCTCGGCTTCCTCAACCCCCGCCTCTACAAGCTTAAAGGACCGGGCCTGTTCGACGTACGTCGCCTTTGTTTACTCTTAAGATGTAAATCCAACCAATCCAGATATAAGATTATAACAATTTGGATGAAAATCCAGCGCTGTGAGACTATCTACTCTCTAATAGATTTATTCAAGGTTTGATTTTATTTGTTTTGACAATTATCTACTTTTTCTGGAACTAGCCACACAGATGGCTGATTACCATCTGATGAAATCCTTTAAAAAGTAACTGATAGCACAAAGTAAGCTTAAAGATTCATGAAGCAAATATCTTTCCCCAATCTAGAGGCTTTTATTTTAAACCAGGAGTTTAAAAAGTACGTCTAAAGCTCTGCAGGCTTCACTAGCCTCATGATTCAACACTTGATTGACCATGAATGAAATCATTGAGAACACTAAAAATAAATCAGTCCCTTATGTATGGGAAAAAAAATATGTATATGATCAGAAGATGTGGCTCCTGTTACATTAGGCATCATCAAAAAAACAAACAAAAAGACAACGTATTAATTGTCAAATGAAGACAATCAAACTATAAATGGTAAATGAGAATATCTGCTGTCTGTTTGTTACCCCAACCCCCTAAATGGTTTGGGAGTGATCTAATTAAACATGCAGTTTCCACTTCAGCTGGACCTAAAGTGGCGCAAAAGTTTTCATAGGGATGTTAAAGGTATAGAGGAGGATCTTTTATTTCCGGGTGGATCATCTGAATAAGTGGTCCTCCTAATTATCAATCATTCCGGTGATCTGTTTACGTAAGGCCATCCTACGTACTTGTCCTGTTAGCTATATCTTATTTGCGCATCCTCACTTTCAGGTCTAGGTCTGTGGTGAGCTATGTTTTCATCCAGTCAAGTTTGCCTTTCTCACCGCGGTTCTTTGAATATGGCCGAGGGTCGTATAAGAAAAAGTCTCTACAAAGTGTATAAGAAGAAGATAAAGGCCTCAGAAGAGAGCAATGATACAAGAGTTTTTTTGGGAAATTCTTTCTGGCGATGGCGTACACTAAAAGCACAGGCCGGTCTCCCCAACTATGCCTCAGCTGCAGTTTCTACTCCACTGGTAAAGTTTGGCATTTCACATCACTGCTAGTAAAAGTTATCTACCTCTGTTTTGTAACTTTCCAGGAAAGATAAGTTTATGTTTTTTTGTATTTTGCATTGTTAGCAGTTATAGGGTGGCCACAGATTCTAATTTATCCCGCAAACAAGTTCAAATTTCCACTGCAGCACACACATACATACAAGCATGTCATGATTTTTTATTTATTTATTTTTTTTATGTGCCAGTAGTCTTATTTGCGGGTAAACTTTTTATATATAAATATGGGTGAGATGAGATCCATCCTATTGAGCGTCTTATTGCATACCTGCACCTCCTGGAGGAGAAATGGGCTCATGCATGCTCTCCTACGCGTTTAATAGGCCTTCCCTCTCTGGAGCGGGTGCAAGGCTGTGAATGTGGAGAGGGCGGGTCTCTTAAAAATTTGCCAAAATCCTCCACTATACCTTTAAAGAATCTTTAACAGATGAAGGGTGGTAAAACCAGTTTTGGTGTTGGGGATGGGGGCATTGAACCCATGTTTGAAAATCCTCTTATATTAAATCTGATCTGAAACATTTCAAGATTATATTAATACAAAAACAATCAACTTGATGAGTCTGTAGTGAAGATGTTTTAGGTGAAAGGAAACCCTGCAGCCGATCATCAACCTGTTTTTCTCTCCAGGTAACTGAAGGATGTCATGAGGGCTGTCTGGACGAACAGGTTCAGGGGAATGGCTTCTGTGCCGCTCCGTCATGGGACCCTGTCACAGGCTGGGGGACACCAAACTACCCTGCCCTGCTGTCTGCGCTGCTGTCTGATTGAACAGAACCAACCCAGAGCTGAACGGGGCGCTAATGCGCCCTGAGAGTGTGGGCTCCACTCCGATCAGGTTCTTGATGCCAAAGGCAGGACAGTGGAAACAGGATACTGGATTACTGCTGCTGTAGTTTTGTGATTTTTATCATTTATGTTTTGCATGATTCATGATTCATAAGGAGTTTCGGCACCTGCCCAGGTTTAAGCCGTGAACATTTTAAAGATGGAATTAACTTAGCATTACTGCTGTGGCCTTATTTTGCAGTTTACTGAACAATATTTTTCTAAAGTCTGTGAGAAATCTTTGTTTCCTCTTTAGGAGTCATTTAAATTCTAGACATGGAAAAATTGTAAACTTGAGTAGTTTTTTTTTATTATTGTTAGGCTAAAGTAAAACAAGTTTAGAAAAACTCAGACAGCTTTTAAGAACGAATTTTAAGTAATGATGTATGTCCTTTTACTTTTGTCTCTACAGCGAATCTTCATTTGATCCTAAGATGCATGAAGCTTTAACATCTTTTATATGTTTAGATAAAACAGGAAGATTATTTTGTGGCTTAACATTTTTATCTGTTCCTGATGACTATGAACAAAATGCACTGTTTGATGTGGGTTTGGAAATGATTCAGCTAATTTACCCACAATGCACTTTTTACAGTACTTGCAAAACCACAAATCAGATATGATTTTGTTTTTTTCTGTTAATTCATTGCACCTAAAATGGGGAAATGAATTGAAATGTATTGTGCAGAAGCAACGATTAAAATTTGATTTTTTTTGGACGTTTTAAATAATGTCTTTTTTTTTTATAAGGATTTTACAGCTAACCCCATAATACCATCACCTTTATTTAAGATATTTTACTTAAGGTCGAACATTACAGCCCAGGAACTTTGAGAACGGAATCTAAAAAAAGTAACTCTTATTTAATGCTCTTAGAAATAATCTTAATGCAATCAGCAAATACCCATGACTTATTTATATATATATATATATATATATATATATATATATATATATATATATGGCTAAATCCATCAGCATGGACAGGCTGCCGCCATGTCCCAAGTTCCTCGTTTTTCCGCCACTTTGGTTCAAATTTGCATTTTTTCCCCATTCTCTAGCCTTTTCTCCGCCTCAAGCTTCTTTTCCGAAGCATTTTAATGCCACGATTTAAAAATAATAATTTAATGACTTTTAATGACCTACAGAAACCCTGCTTTACATTTTAGTTTAATTTAGATTATGGCAGATAGTGGAATTGTTTCTCATACATTAGAGAACTGAGACCAAAATAAGAGGATTTTTAAACAGAAATATGAAATTATGGTCTGCACAAGCAAATGAAGACTGCTGACTTAATGACCACAAACAGAAGCTGCTTATTCAGAGGGTTTAGTGCAGCGTGAATGGAAAGTTAAATGGAAGAAAGATGTGGAAGCTTTAATAAATTGTGACTGAGGTTACTTCTGGTACACACAATTAATTCCAAGAAAAGTCTTGATTGTATTTTTTTATATTTTCGTTCACTTTTATCAATATTGTAAGAAATTCTACAAAGTTGGTCCATGGTACATAGACATACTTGTTAGTAGGCCCTCGTTTCTGCTTTAAAATGTGTAACAGCTGCGTTATTATATGAGTGGATTTTTTTTATTTTTATTTGTGAGCTGCAAACCAGAATTATGAATAAAAACTGGAAATGTATACTCATACGTTTTCCATTATAATGAATTTGAAAAGGAGCTCCTCTGGAGTGAAACAAGCAAACTGTGAGGAAACCTAATTTCCATTGCAAATTCTCCCAAGGCCTCTGGTTTCCAGTTCACTCTCAGCATATCCCATTACTACAATAAACACACATTACAGCAGCATCATGTGATCTTATCAGCCACACTTATGCACAGGATATTTAACATTGCATGTGCAGAAATACCCAAAATTCCAATCCCGACCTGCTTGCCTTATGGCAGCTAAATATTTCCTCTAGATGCTTGAACTCCACTTTAAACACTAACCTGGTCTGTTAAAGGTCTCATTTAGCCAAAGATTAACTATCACTCTGAATATTACAGTCATCCATGCATATAAATCGTAGTTAAATATGCTCCACATCCCTGTTAAATCTTCTGAGAAGGTTTATTAACCTGATTGGTTTAATCATTAACTAGAACTGGAACAGCTCCTGGCTTGTCCTCAAAGGTAATGACAGCTACAACAGCTGCTTACTACCGGTAAGAGTTTGACCTTTGACCACACAAATCACACGTTCTAGATCAGTTATTCAATAGGAAGAAACAATTTAATCAATATCTACTGGTGAGGGAAAAAGCACATGGTTTTCATCTACATGATAAGAATATGAAATGCTGTTCCTGTGTGATCTCCTCACAAACAGCTCCATGAACGAGAACAAAGAGAAGCAAAACTAAAACTGGACCCTTGCATGAAGGCCGACGGGACACATACAGACCACAAAGCTTACATCTAACCGTGTACAATATGCACACTTAGGGAACGGTACAAAACTGAGAAAATGGTGAAGATTAATGCAAATTACATAACTATTTGTGTAAAGGTATAAATAAGTTTTCCAGGTGCAGATTCACAAATTAATATCTTAATCAGAAGAAACTAAAATATTCCTTCCATTTAGAGCCAAAGTGTGGGGGACCAGCTCAAACGGGTTGATTTGTTTGCAACCCCCTCCCTCAAACCTCCATTTTTTATCAAAAGCTTCACAAAAATGTATGTTTTTTTTTCTATATTTGCAATACAAAGAGAGTCATCTCACAGAAAAAGCAGTTCAAGCAACATCGAGTCAGTTTTCCCAGAAGCAGACGGAGCTAAAGTCCTCCAGTTTTCCTGCTGTTTCTGAATCCAGTTCCTTGTGGGAAACTTTACTGGTTATTTTTGGCTTTGGCGTGTGTGAGGATGTGAGACTTCAGGTTGGTAGACTGAGCAAATTTCTTGTTGCAGCCATCAAAGGGACAAACATACGGGCGGTCGCCGGTGTGAATCCGCACATGAGTGCGCAAGTTAAAGTCCAGAGAGAAGCGTTTTCCACATCCTTCAAACGTGCACTAGAGAGACGAGATAGGAAAGAAAAATATACAATTAGATCAAATTGTATAATTTTTTTTTTTTTTTTTCATTTTGTATTCATGCACTTAAAATTTTTGAACATGTAGAAAGAAGAAACTCACTTGGAAAGGTTTCTCTCCTGTGTGAACCAACTGATGCCTTTTCAGCTTTGAACTCTCCACAAAGGCTTTGCCGCACTCTGCGCAGACGTGCACACGAGGCCCGTGGGTGTGCAAGTGCTTCCTCATCGCAGAGTTGTCCCTGAACATCTTGGTGCATCCCTAAGAGGGGAACAAACACAATAACAGTCATTTTCCAGGAACCTCTCAAACATGCTGCTGATAGGAAAAATACCAAACTCAGGGATCCGTTCCACTATTAGTGAATCTAATCACAGGAACACATTTAACTTACTTTATGCGGACAGGCTATTGTCCTGGGTGCATCATCTTCTTTGACTTTCCTTGGCTTCATTCTGCAGCACAAATGAAGGTGATGCTTTTAAGCTACAAACATGAACACTGACGTATTTGTGCAACACCAGAGAGTTAAATGTGTTAATCCAATTTTAAATGTTGCACTTAATGTAGTCGTGTACAAGTTCCTACCGTGCAAACTCTGCCAGCTGTTTGGGATCTGACAGGTCAATGCCTGGAATACCTCCTGGTGGGAGCTTCTTCCCTGTCATATATTCAGAATAATCAGGAGGAGAGTTTTCCTCTGAGAGCTGCTCATGCTCGATGTCCTTCTTGTCATCTGAGAGTGGAACAGAAAGAAAGTAAACACGACATCAGTTTAAGCATGTGATGGATTAGAAATACTAGATTAATCAAGACATCTTTAATTTGTAAAATTATGTGAATACAGCAAGCATTTTTTCCATACAAACAACAAACAATTTACTATTAAATAAAAGTTTAGTGATTAAAAGGCTAGATGGATGCATTAAAAAGCAACAAATTCCTTATGCATGATTATAGACGTAATATTCATGCCTTTCAAATGCAGCGTATGGATGCATTGATATAGCGAAAGTCTGTTTTACTGTTTGTTCTCCTAGGCAAACAGATCTGCAGACACATTTTTAAGATCCCATATCATATTTTAACTTTTAAAGTTAATTTCAAACAGACTGACCCAAAGTATGACCACTTACAGCTGTTCTTACTTGATTTATCAGTTACGTTTACATTTTAAACATTTCCTATAAAAGGTTACAAAATGACCGAAAATTGTTCTTCTACATGTATATAAAATAATCGTGACAAAATGTCAACACAGAGGAAAAAAAACATGTTTAGTGTTTATTTAGCCTTCCCTCAAAGGTCAAACACGACCCAGTTCTTGTCTTGTCTTTGCCTTATATGGCATTATTCTTATTACGAAAAGCCTGGCGTTTATTTTATTTAGATGTATTTCTCGTTTTTATTTTTTTTTATTTTTTAAACCCTGCCACAGTATTTCCCAGTAAAGCATGTTGAATTAAAAGGAAAATAAATCGCTTTATATAAAACAAAATATACTTCATCTTTGCGTTGTTTTTGAAACGGGATTAAAGATTTATTTTTCAAGCCTGATATTAAATACTGGGTCTTTCGTTTAAAGTCCCAGAACTGTAAAGTCGGAGGCGTCCCTGAAGGCATCTCGTACTGCCGCTAACTGAACTGCGCCACAGCGGCCCAGCGGAGCTAGCAGCCATCGCTCCCCTTGTCGCCGCCATCTTCGTCGGCCAAATAAACGCCATTTTTTCGGGCCGCCATACTTTCTGGACCGGGGAAATATGGCGGCGCCCATTGACACATAAAACATGGCTTCCCATAAAAACAAACATCTTTCAGAGAGACTTTAAACCGTTTTGAGCAGTTAAAAATAATCCAACAAGCAGAGGACAAGGCCTCAGTCGGGCCCGCTCACACCGAGAACAAAGCGACATTAGCAGCATGCATGGATTCACCACCGACTCACCTGAAGCCCACATAGTTACTGAAAACTCCCCCTCCAGAGTCTTTATCTGGACCTGCTTCTGCTCCCACTTTCGGCCCATCTCTACGCCAGTCAGGAAGCTTTTCTTGCCAGCTTTCTTCCCGCTCCCACTCTTCTTAACCCGACCTGCGGACGAGCCTCTCCCGGCTACAGTAACCAGAGTATGCTCGATGTAGTCCTCCTCAACGGCTGGCACCGGGATCAGGATCTGATCCTCATACCCGTCCTCCGTGTGCAGTTCCGAGTCCTCCTCTCCAACCACCTCTTCCCTGGTCTGCACCAGAATCACCTCCTGGTGCGAATGGAGCTGGTGCGGATCATCCAGAGGCTGCAATGCGATCATCGGCTGTTGTTCGCCGTCCTCTCCGACAACTGTCGTCTCAATGGTTTCCACCTCAATTTCATGCAGTTCCACTATTTCTGCTGGCATCTCAGTCCCGTCCGTCTCAATGTACAGGGTATCCCCTGACGCCATGATGAATTTGTTTCCCTCGGCCTGTTTATGTATTTGTATGTATTGTAGCTCTCACCTCCCCCTATGCTCTCACTTCGCTTCCTCCCACTCTGACAAAAACTCTCCACCACTACTGTAATCTCGTCGCCACAGTGCTCTAGTTTTGAATTCTCGCGTGATTTGAATCAGCTTTAAGTGTATGGTTATTGTATGGATTTCAAGACATACATCTACTGCGACTTCATAAGTCCATGACCCCACAACTAACCAACTTATCTATTATTTGAACCATCAATCACTGACCAAAAATTAAGTTTAAATTATAACATTCTAATAACATTCTTTGCAAATTTGAGAAAAAATCAATTGAAACACTGAGAACTCTTTATCTACCCCCCATACAACCAAAAGCTAAAGAAACTCATTATAAAACTTAAAATGCAATTTACCCCCCATAAGAACTACTAAGAATTTGTTTTAATATTGATGACAATAAATGCTCATTCTTTTAAAGTGATATAGAAACAATTGACCATGTCTTCTATGAATGCAATAAAACATTTTGGAAGTGCTTAGAAACATGGATTAAATAAAAAAATTGCACTTCTTGAATCTATTTCTAGAGATATGGGTAACTTTTGGAGTATTATTGAAAACCAAAACAATAGAACTCTGTTGTAACCTAATTTTGTGTTTAGCAAAATTATTTATTCATAAACAAAGAGTGTTAAGATTATCCCCAATCTTTAATCTTTTTTTAATCTGAATTCAAGTTGTATTTTAAATCTCTTAAATGTATCGAATCATACGAACACCTGACAGAAATACTGATGGGTTTTCCCACAGATGTTCAGCAATCCTAACACGAATCCCCTTGTTGCCTTGTTAATAATTATTTCATTATTATCAGATATTCCTTTTATTATTTTTTTGTTCCTTATCAACAATGCCTTGTACTTCATTTTTTAAATCTGCCTCTACTTTTCCTTCCTCAGATTTGTACTGTTACTATTGCCTTACTTGTTTGTACTTACTTTGTTTAAATAAAGTTTTTAAAAAAAGAACCAAAAAACGTCATAAATCTGGTTTTGATCAATTGATAAAAAAAACAAGAACTTATTTATGCTTAAACATGCAAAATATTACACTGAAAAACACACTGGTCTCTTTTGAGGGTTTGTAATTGATTGGCAGAAATTTGAATGTTAGTTTTTGCATTTCAAAAAAGCAAAAAAAAAATGAAGTCTCTCTTTGTGTTATAAAAATCAGAACTAGACATATATGATTTAATTCTGTTTACACAATTAAAATAAACCTAAAGAGAAGCCAAAAGGAAGAACATGCAAACCCAATAAGAAAATACCCTGGCACTCAATTACAAAAATGAGCTATTTCCCTTTTTTTTCTTATCTAAAACGTCACATTTAATTGAACAGAAACCGTTTGGTTTTGTTAATGAATAACGGATTAGGGAACATTTTTAGGAACGATTCTTGTATCATATTAAATCAAAAACCCTACTTCTCTTTCCTTTGGAGAAATGGAAAATGATAAATGTTTTCATAAAAAAAAAGCACCGATAATAATATATTAAGACGCTAGGGGCGCTGTTTCCCGTGTAAATGTTCACATTATGCACTTAAAAGAGATAATAAATAAAAATGTACCAAATTGTAATTTAATAAAATAAAATATTGATTTTGAATAAAAAAAAATCTAAAAAAACACAAAAATCCCTGACAAATTAAAGTACCTTGCTCATGAACAGTGAAAAAACATACCTGACCAGAAAAAAACAGATTTCAGGTATTTC